TTATCACATTCAAACTTCAGGAACTTATTATGCTTTCTCTATTGCTAAATTCTCAGAGCATAAAGTTTGGTTCCCAAAAGTAATATCTAAGTCTTGAGCCAATTTTTGTAAGAATAATATGTAAAATGATGAGGTTCGTTCCTAAACACAGGATTAAGGCAAGAGCTTTTTTATTCAGTTTATAGATTTTACAAAATTATAAATAGCAACTACACTGTCATTTTTTTAAAAACACATAAGCCCCCATATGGAACTATATTAGTGTACTATGTTATATAAGCATCCACCTATAAATTACCAAAGAACTGTCAATAAATTTTTTTAATTCAACTTTAAATGCTCCAAAGTTTAGACAGATGTTATCCTACTTTCTCTGAGCAGCTGTTCATTGGACATGTTCCTTATTTATTGATATACTGTGTTCAATGCTAGGGTCACATTTCTTAAACAGGAACTTGGCAACTTCCAAATTCCATGGTAAATATTGACATATCTCAGCATGTCAATATTTATACTGTCAAGACTTTGATGAGTCTCCTCAACAATGGCTGCATCTTATTTCTTAGCAGCCGCTTGCTTCTGTTCCAGTTGAGCAAGGTCTTTCTTTATTCAACAACATCTTCTCACACAAAGACCTGACTGACTTTCTTGCTTATTTCAACATTTTGGACCCTTTTACAGGGTTAGTAAAGTTCAAAGAAACAAGGCACAAATTTAGCAAGAGCTGCTTTTGATTATTTGATCCCAAGCCTAATCACCATTTTCAACCCCACTGCTGGAGTTGAAAGCTGCTGAAGCCTTTTCAGAATTTATAGTCAGATTATTTCCTTTTCTGTTAGTCCTGAAGGCTATGCAACATTATAAAAAGATTGGTTTATGGACTACGACAATGATGATAATATTCAGAGGACAGTTTAAATTCAAAATGTTTACCATGAAAGGTAGTTAGAAGTCTGGCTCATTATTTACAATTAAACAGTGTTTTTGTTTTGTTTTGTTTTGTTTTGTTTTGTTTTTTTAAAGATTTATTTATTTATTTGACAGAGATCAAAAGTAGGCAGAGAGGCAGGCAGAGAGAAAGGGGGAAGCAGGCTCCCTGCTGAGCAGAGAGCCAGATGTGGGGCTTGATCCCAGGACCTGGAGACCACAACCCGAGCCTAAGGCAGAGGCCTCAACCCACTGGGCCACCCAGGTGCCTCTAAACAGTGTTTTAAATACAAAATCACCTAGGTTTTGTGCCAAGTATCAGAATTTATGTTAACAAACTAATTATCTTTAACTCAACCTTAACAACAAATTTCCATATCACTGTGAGAAAAACCTTTGCAATATCTTGAAAATACACTGGGATTTCCCAATGGCACACAATCAAAAGTTTAATTTAAAGCTATTGGCAGTACTGGCATCTACCAAAAATATGGATGCCTCATGAGCATTTCAGAATTCTAGCATGGATTTCCCGCTTTGACGCAACAGAAGTCTCAAGGGTGTTCTTCTAAAAAGAGCCCCATTTCATCAACATTAAAAACTGCTGACTATAACGACTATGATAACCTTCTGTTCATTTCAGCCAATGTCTTAGGGAAAAGAGCACAACTCATGTTCTCATCAGCGCTGGCAGCTTCACAAATGACAAGGAACAAACTGCCCTGGACTATAAAATGATTACCTCCTACCTGTATAAAAACGATCCTTCTATTATTTTAAGGACAGCCACCCTTTTCCTAGAGAACAAGGTATAGCAAACAGACCACTGATTTTATACCCAAAAGAGTCAGCTTGAAATCAAAACTCTACTGCTTCATAGCTAAGTGACTTTGGTCACGCCATTAATGCATTAAAACATTTACGACTACTTCCTACGTACCAGGCTTTGATATCCCCAGAATGAGTAAGACACATTCTGATCTCTCTAGTGAAATTAAAAAAAAAAAAAAAACACCCCAAAATAATGATTTTACAAGCTTGTAAAGTGCAGAGGCGGGATGGTATCTCCTCTCAAGAGTTCATGTAAGCCAGCCTAACATTTCAGGGAAGGCTTCCCTGAGTTACACCTGATATGAATCTTAAAAGGTGAAAAGGAAAGAGATAAGAAAAGGCACCCCATGCAGAAGACCCTGCATGAGCAAAGCCTTGGAGACAAGAAACAGCATAATACCTGGAAACCATAAACAATTTAATGTTTCACAATGACCGCAAATGAAGGATGACTAAATTCAAATAGCAAGTCAAATTCATTCACTCAACCAAAACATGCGCACTTCTATGCATCAGATAGTGCTTTAGAATTTGGCATAAGGAAACAAAACAGATAACAACTCTTTCCTTTGGAGACCAACAAGGAAAAAAAACACATAATAAATATGTAAAATATATAGTATGGTGATAAGTGCTAGAGTCAAGGGAGAAGATAAGACAGGATAGAGAAAACCGGGAGTACAGAGGCCAGTGGGGGAAAGGGGGATAGTTGCAAACCTGCAATTTTATTTTTTTTTAAAGATTTTATTTATTTATTTGACAGACAGAGATCACAAGTAGGCAGAGAGGCAGGCAGAGAGAGAGGAGGAAGCAGGCTCCCTGCTGAGCAGAGAGCCCGATGTGGGATGTGGGGCTCGATCCCAGGACCCTGGGATCATGACCTGAGCCGAAGGCAGAGGCTTTAACCCACTGAGCCACCCAGGCGCCCCCAGCAAACCTGCAATTTTAAATAGGAGGTTGAGGTAGGCTTTATTGAAAAGGTGATGTTTGAGTACATACATGAAGATCAGTTGTGAGGATGTCTGGGAAAAATCATTCCAAGCAGATGAAGCAGCCAGTGCAAAGGCCCTAAGGCAGAAGTGGGCTTAAGAAACAAGGAAGCCAATATGGCTAAGACAGAGTGAGGGGAGAGCATACAAAGGGCTGAAGTCAGGGAAGTAATAGGAAAACAGATCATGTAGAACTTTGTAGGCCCATGTCAAAATGTTAGCTTTTATCATGAATCAAATGAGAAGTCATAAAATGGTTTTACGCAAAGAAGTAATGTTACATTTCTTCTAATAAACTTTTTATTTTGGAGTAATACTGAATTTACAGGAAAGTTGCAAAGATAACACAGAGTTCCCACATACATCTCACCCAGTTTCCTCCACTATTAATGTCTGGAATTCAGAAAGAGAGGGAACTAAGAATATGAATTCAGGAGCCTTCAGTATACACAAGGCTATTTAAAGTCATTAAGACTTGATGATATAATCAAAACGAAGTGTAAAAAGAAGAAAAGAAGAGAAGCAAAGATTGAAGCCCTGGAACACTCAGCAGTAAGAAATCAAGAACAGAAGGAAGACAGAAGGAACCAGTAAGGTAGAAGGAAAACCAAGAGTGTGATGTCCTGGAAATGAAGGGAAGAAAATATATCATGAAGAAGGAAGGAATTAACTATGTCAAAGTTTGCTGATAGTTCAAATACAAAAAAAGATGGAATGATTAACACCAGGAAACCACTGGTGACACTAAGAAGAGGTTTGGGGGGAAGGGTGGGACCAAAAGCCATGCTGGAATGATCTCAAAAAAAGTACAGAAAAAGAGGAATGGGGATTTGGAATGTAAAATCCTTAGAGGATTTTTGTTCAGAAAAGCAATAAATGAAGAAGTGAATAAATGGAGAAGATGTGGAGAAAAGTTAAGAGAAGCATTTCTTAAAGTTAAAAGAAACAACATGCAGGTCAAATGTGGGTCTTAATCTAAGAGCCACAGGGGAAAGAATATAAAAAAGAGGGGGGAGAAGAAGGACAAAGACAAACACTAGAACATAAAAAGCCTTAATCTTAAACTGCTGGTGTCTAGTTGGGGATTAGAGAAAACAAGCAGTTAAGTAAAACCATTATCTTTTAATATATGTGCCCATCAGTGAATTTTAAAAAAGGAAATCATGCAAAAGGAAACCATTAACATTATCAACACTAGATATAAAGTAAAAAGAGAGGAAGGGGGATGAGGGAGGCTGACTATGGTAAAAAAGCAGTTTCATTTTAATTCGAAAACCACATATTGGGTTCCCAAGAACTATGCGAACTGAATACATCAAAACACTTGTTTCCCCATCTGGGTTATGCAAAGACAAAAACGAGTGGAAAATAAAGCTTCACTTAATGGGATTATCCAAACTAAAAGAAGCTAAATACTACTACTGATTAAAAGAGAAAGTTGGCATGCGATTCCTCTCCCTGATGGAACACTTCTCTAGAATACCTGTGCAACCACTCAACTCAGGAAAGGCAGTTTCTTTCCATTTGTTACTACACCAAGTTTCTTACTCCAAAGGGCCTAGTATGCTTCAGGCTCCAGGTGAAACCAACGGACAGTTTACAAAGAGCGAGGGATTGGGAGACAGGGAAGACCAGCGTCCGAAGTGTCCCAACAGTCTACTCAACACAACCCTCCGGATTCAAATGCCTTCCTACTTCCACAACCATTACAGGGCACTGCAACGGCGCTCTGCATTGTACAGAATCCCTCGGGTGCAAAAGGAGAAACTGAACAGGGCGTAGCAGGTGCACACCCTGCGCCTACATTTAGAGAACCCAGGCGTCCCCGAGAGTGCATCAACGGAAGGTCCAGGAGCTTACACATTGAGGGGGCTCCGAGCTAGGAAAAATCATGCACTGAGGAATTCTAGAGGGAAATAATAGGGAACTAAAAAAGAAAGTGAGGAAAAAAAAAACAACAACAAAGGACAGCACAAAGAACCATTACTATTACTAACTTACTATTACTAACCTACGCAGCTCACACTTCCGCACCCTACCTCTCAGTGCCTCCACTTCCGGTCTCCTCCAAAAGGCCCGCTCCCACAGACAGACATCCCGCAGCCAATGAGAGTGTGGTCCACTGCCGCAGGGGCGCATGACGTCTTTTAGCTCCTGCCTTTTCCGGTCGTGAAGAGCCTATCCTGGTGTCCGGGTCGCGCGGCTCGGGAGGAGGGACCCTGACAGGCCCAACCGGATGCGGGGAGCGTGCACGCCTCTTCCGCCCTGGGCCCGGAAGGGTGATGTGGCTGGGGCTTCGCCGGCCTCACTATGGTAAGAATTGGGGCGGTGGGGTCGCAGCCGAGCTTGGTGAAGGGGCTCCGGGCGCGAGCGAGGGCTGGAGGGTTGGGCGGCGGCCCTGGGTGCGCGGGCCAGGGAGCCCTGTCACTACCTTGATTCTGCCGGGGCTGGGAAGATGCTCAGGCCCGGGAACCATGTGGCCCCTGCACGCCCAGCCAGGGAGAACCGGGGCGAACCAGGGCCCACCGTCCCCAGAGAGATCCCGCGGTCGCAGGTCCCAGCGCCTCCCGCACAGTCTACCTTTCTGACTTGTTTCGAAGAACTGCGCTGGTTGCCTTAACCCAGTCGTGTATACAGACTCTTTCTGGTCACTGACTCCTGGAGGCATGGAGCTTCAGTTTGCGCGGTTTATTTCGCGTTCTCTGATGTTTCTACGAGCCTGGTTCAGGTGTTTCACCCCAAGCTCCACATCTTAATTGGGGTCTGTTGAGGTAGTGACCTTTCAGGCTCTTCCTGCTTTACAAACTGTAGGTTTTAATTATTGGCGATCTCTGGAGAAGTGGTTTTTCTTCTAGGAATGTACTTAAGGTGGTGTTTGACCTCGGACCTGCCTTCCCCACACATTTTTAAGGTTGTATGTATTATTTTGTGTTATTGCAGATTCCTTTGATAGTTTGGGCCTCTTAGGAAAATTTAAAGTGAGTCACAAAAAGTTTTCAAAGGAAATGCCTGGATCTCCAGGCAGAGAAAAAACGTAAAATCAGCATGGTCAGAGGACAGAAGTAGTGGTAGTAATAGTGAAATCTCCCAAGCTGTCTCAAGCCCTTTTACCTTTGTTATGGTAAAGGCCAACAGCCTCTACACCCGGTGAACTTAATGAAATCCACGGGCCAGATGTTGCATTTATGAGCATATTTCTGGAGAAAGGATGCATGCCTTTATTACAGTATCAAAAACAACCATGACCCCCAAAAAAGCTATTGTGGGATGAAAGCTACTGAGCTTACGTTTCCAGAGGTTCCTGCAGAACCCCATACAGCACTAAACTTTTAGGCGTTTAATTGAAAACTCATTATTTGTTGCTTTAGCCCTAGTACTTTGATTATAGATGGGACACAAGTCACAGCGTCCTTCCTGGAGAACTTAGAAAACCGCAGTCTATTCTTAGTCAAGAATATACTCCAGCATCTTAGCCTAGCTGCCACAACCGGATGAGTACATGTGCTTTTAGAGTGCCATTAGAGAACTGTTACTTATTTAGAGAATTTGATTCCTTTTTCATTTGAAAAAGAATAGATGTTGTTACTCTTTCTTCTCCTTTTTCTTTTCTCTTTTTTTTTTTTTTTTAAATAATGTCTACCTGCAACAAGAGTCACATGCTGTAATGACTGAGCCAGCCAGGTGCCCCTAGAAATTGTCACTCTTAATTCTTGCATATCTTCCTAGATGCTGAAGTTTAATTATTCTACTCATAGTACATGTCAAAGATTTATTTTCATCATCTTAGCTTCTTCGAACTAGCTACTAGCAAGACTGATACTGTGTTTAAGATTAACATTAACTTTTAAACTTCAGAATGCCTTTTTCTCCCTCTTAATATCCTTAAAGATTTATCTCAAGTTTTATCTCTTCCCAAAAATCCTTCCCTACCCCATCTGTTTTCTTCTCCTGGGTCTCTATTTGGGCATCCATAGCCCATGTGTATATACCTCCAATGTACCTCCAGCCATAGCACTTACCACAAAAAACAAACAAACAAACAAAACAGCAATACACTGTTGCCTATATTTCTTCCCTCTCTAGCTGGAGTTTTCGAGAGACCAGGTCTTCTAGTATCTACATCACAATGACAGCTAGAGTTAGTACTCAGATGACTCTACATCTGGGGAAAGAGTCATGCCCAGTTCAGTCCAAATTTCTGAGCAGCAATAGTTTTTCTAAGCTCCAAGTAATTCTTTTTTTTTTTTTTTTAAGATTTTATTTATTTATTATTTGAGAGAGAAAGATTGTGAGAATGAGTAGGGGGAGGGGCAAAGGGAGGGAGCCCAACAACGCAGGACTCCATTCCAGAACTCTGGGATCATGACCTGAGCCGAAGGCATACACTTAACCGACTGAGCCACCCAGGCGCCTAAAAGCTTCAAGTTATTCTTATGAACAGCCAGGCTGCATACCATATTTGACTCCAACTATTGAAAAGTTTTTCCCTTTCATCAGGCTTTGTCATTTCTGACTGTATGGTCAGAACACTTTTCTTCATAACAGGAATTGCACTTTGGCCTTTGGATACTTCTGTCCTATCAAATTATCAAGAACATGTAAAGTATTTATTGCTTCATTTTTTTAAAGTCTACTCCTTATCATGGTTCTGTGTATGCTTTCTCCAATTAACACCTTTGATCCCCTTGTTGCTTTATATTTAGATCTCTGGTGTCTATAAAACCGCTCTGAAACTAAGCAACACAAACATAGCAAATGAATTATAGATACCATGACAGTGAGATGAAAATAAATGCAAATGACCACCTGTGTTACCAGTGGAGAACAGAATTGAGGTGCTTCTGCTCTAAACTGTACCTTTCCTCACAGCCATGAAAGTTCTTTAAGTGGAAAGGTTCAGTAGAAAAGGTCTACGTTTTTGAAATAGGACCAATGAAATCAAATGGGTATTTAGTCCAGCTCCTCATTTTACAAGTGAAATTAAATTAAACTGATAATTTAGAGGTGCAGATTTATCCAAGGGCAAATATGTATATTGGTTTATTTCCTAAATAATGCAAATACATAGTGACCACTGATGTTAAGAGACAGGTTCTTAACATTAAAACATTAAGTAATCCTGGTTTCTTGGTTTTGAATTAAACAAGATAATTTGCCTACCTTACAGTAAGTGCTACCTTACAGTAAGCAACAAAGGTTGAACTTAATGCTAATAACACCAAAGGTCGGTATTTCTGTGTGTTAATGGAAATATTATTAATCACCTGTGATTACTTATCTTGGGCAAGTGGGGGGTGTTTGCATATTTATTTACAGGCTTCATTTATCCCTGCATTTCCATGTGTTCCAGTTTAAGAGAAAATAGTGGCACATATAAATTTACAAGTAGAGACTTGTTGGAAAATGCTGGCCTGACCTAGATTTGTAAATAATAAAATGCTGACCCACTTTTGCAGTACTGTATAATTTTTATCACAATTAGGTCAGGAATATCATTTCTGGGTCTCCTTCCACCTTCTGAGAGGGATAAATGACTAGTTTTGTGTAAAAAGCAGCAAGTCTTAAAACAAGTAAAATTGTTACTATTTGGAGTTTTAAAAATTCTAAGTCTTTGGTATTCAGCTCTTCTTTTTTAAAGTGAATTTCAGTTAAACTGGAGGAATTAATACGTCCGTTACTTCCACATAAGATGCAGTCAACAGGGGCTGCCTGGGTGGCTCAGTGGGTTAAGCCTCTGCCTTTGGCTCAGGTCATGATCTCGGGGTCCTGGGATCGAGTCCCACATCGGGCTCTCTGCTAGGCAGGGAGCCTGCTTCCTCCTCTCTCTCTCTCTCTCTCTACTTGTGATCTCTCTCTGTCAAATAAATAAAATCTTTAAAAAAAAAAAAAAAAAGATGCAGTCAACATTTGAAGCTCCCATACGGTTATGCATGAAGAAGGCCCTTAATCAACAATTGGTTAAACAGTTTATTTTGGTAGTGCTAAAAATAAATATATAAGCTATACGGAGCTCAGGTGATCCAGGACTAATGAAGACTGTAGGCTTAGGCTTTTCTATAGATTAAGTACAGTTAGCAACCAATCACTGAGCACTCCAAACAACTGTTCAGCATATTAATATGTATATTTCTGCTGCCTTTCTCATTGGTTCTTCGTGCCTTTATACCGCTGGGATCTTCTCCCCTGTTTTTCTCTCTATTCCTAATGTTTCAGATGGTTTCTTAAACTATTTTTATATATACATTTAAAACAAAACTTTACACTGAATTCTTGCCTTATATCCAAACTTAATAGTTCGAACATTCACTTCTGGCTGAAACAAGAAATTGTATCTTCTTAGGTAAAATGATAAAAATTGAAATTGCAGTAAATATTCCTAACTTTAAATTGACTTGAATAAAGAATTTTTAAAAAGATGTGTTAACATCACAAGTAATTTCTTGTTTTAGCACTAAGCTTTGCATCAACGAATCTTCATCTTTTCATTGATAAATTATTTCATCTGCTGTAGTGGTGGCCAGATGAAGGTGAATTATCATTATTTCAGAAGGCCTAACAAATTGTGATTTACTTCAGAATGATTATGCAAAGGGACTCACCAAGTTGATTTCCTTCTGGTTTTGATAATTTATTTAGTAAAATAGCACTAATTATCTGAAGCATATCAGAAAGTCAAGAGTAGGGGCGCCTGGGTGGCTCAGTGGGTTAAAGCCTCTGCCTTCGGCTCAGGTCATGATCCCAGGGTCCTGGGATCGAGCCCCGCATCGGGCTCTCTGCTCTGCGGAAAGCCTGCTTCCCCCTCTCTCTCTGCCTGCCTCTCTGCCTACTTGTGATCTGTCAAATAAATAAATAAAATCTTAAAAAAAAAAAAAAAAAAGTCAAGAGTAGTAGCTAGGTCTGAAAAAGATTTTCATGATCTGAAAAAAAATTAAACATTAAATGAATTTTACTTCCCATATCACCTTTCATTAATCATCTTTTCCTCTATTTTGTGATCAGTTTGGCTTACTTTTTTTCTTAGCTTCTTCCTTTTTAATATCATTTTCCTATTGAAAATCCCAGTTGTTTTTCTGCAAGAACAGGAACATCTGTTTCCTTTCAACCTGAGATGAAAAGTTTATATCAGCAGACAACAGATGCGAAGCATTAAAAGGAATGCTTAGGTAGGGTAAGAAATGGTAGGCTAATGTCTGTAGCTTTGAAACATTCTTGTTTGGTCAGAGTCTGAGTACATCTAAAAGCCTTTACCACCTAAGATTATTTGTTTAAATTTTAGGATCTATAAACCGCAGAAACAAAGTTGTATGTAACATATATTGCACACTTATAAATGGTTTTTCATTTATAAATGGTTTCACACACAAATGTATATATACACACCCCACTTCTGTAATAATAGGCATGTCTCTAAGTGCCTCTTAAATTCTTCTATTATATAAAAATTCAAACATAGAAAGGTAGAAGAGTATAATGAAGCCTCACATCCTCAGTGTTTCTTCAACCCCATACCTCCCATCACACACAATGGATTATTTAGAAACCAATCCCAGACATCCTATCATTTAAGCATTTTTTTTCACTACAACATTCAGGGAAAGAAAAAGTACACAATGCAAAAATCGTGAAATTTAGATACTCCCATTAGGAACATGATAAACCTACTTTGCAAATTGATTTTCCAGCCACACTACTACAACAGTCCTTTGCTTGATATAGTAAGCCTGCTCATTATTCTTTAAACATGCAAATTCCTGATTCTGTGAGGATGTTTTCCATGATTTTGTCTCTTTGGGAGCCTGTTCTCTATGTCAATCTAATTGTGCCCTTTCTTAACTTAGTCCTTGCTTTCTCCTTGAAACTTTTCTTGACTGACTTTATGAAAACAGCATTTTTTTTTTTGCCAGTATGGTTCAGTCGCTGCTTAATACATGCTACAAAGAATTGCTAGTTACTTTTTTGAATATATATCCTGTTCTAACTTGCTTATAACGGCTGTATGCCTCAGTTGTCTTATATATAAAATACAGGTATTAATAACACCTAACTCAAATATATGAGGATAAACAAAATAATTCTAACAAGCCTCCAGTGAATATCAGTTATTGTCATTAGCTATAGACTCCTGGAGGGAAGGAATCCTGCTATGTACTTTTTTAATCCTGTGTCTAGCCTCCTGCTCCCAAAAGAGTAGATACTAAATATGTGTTATGTTGACTGAAAAGAAATCTGTACTTTGTATTTCATGAGGTTGTTATCAAATACGGTATCAATATACTCACATACATGTTCAAAATATCTTTGAAAGATAAACATTGTGAAATACTGTCTTTTCTATATAGAATTTACCTTTAGAGTTCATTTATTGGTTTTTTTCAAGTTATAAAATTTGTATCACTTACTCTCATAAATGTAAAATTAAAATCCAGTTCAATAAGAAACCAAGACATACTAAACTTTATCCTTTGTATATCCATGAAGTGATTTGCATACAAAATAACTATTTAAATAGTAATTACAAATAAACTTTATCTTTTTCAGACCATAAAAATAACACTTAGAAAATCTGAGAAATCCAAAAGAGTTGAGAATTGGGCTAAAAATTTTCCAAAGAGAATCAGTGCTTTCTTCCTTCTTGTTTACATAAAGGTTTACACAGCTGAAGATACGCTGATTATGAAATTTTGTGTGCTGTTCTCCCCACTGCTTAGAATTGTACGAAAGCATTTTTTTGTGTCTTTAAGAATATTGATGAATGGCATGTGTAATTTCTTAATATTTTGAATAGTTTGTAAATATCATAAAAATATATAACAGGTTAAAAAATACTGAGTTTCTGACAAGGCTAGTTCTTGTTTTAGGATTCTCTTGGCTGTTACTGCTTATTTCTTTTTTCATATGAACTTCAAAATCAGTTGTGTATTTCAAAAATAATTGGTTGGTATTGAGTCAACTTTAAATTTATAGATTAGCTTTATAATTTTGCTTTCCAATATAAGAACATGGTATACCACTCCATTCTACTTTAAGGTTTTTCAGTACATTTAAATGTTTAGTCAGTTTTGTTCTTTAATACCAGTGCTGCATTTCTTGTTAAGCTTATTCTTAGATACATCAGCTTTTTGTTCTAGTTGCTACTGTAAATAGAAACTTTTTTTCCATTATGTCTTTCAGCTGGTTGGTAATGTCATTCTGAAGGCTGTTGATTTAAATATTTTACTTATGTACCCAGCCACCTTACTCAATTTCCCTTATTGTGTGTGATTGTTTTTCACTAGGTTCTTTTGGGCTTTTCAGGTAGCACTTAACAATTGTTTCTTTCAAAGTAACAGTTTTGCCTTTCTCAAAACATTTTGCAACTCTTACTCTTTGTCTAACTTCTGACACCATAGGAGGGCCTTCTGAGTTTACTAAATAAGCATTTTGCTAGGTACTATGTGAGATTGATACATTTTATCTACCTTTTGTAATGGAAATACTATTCTTATCTTACGATATATAGTGGTATTCCTGCACTTTCAAAAAATTGTTTTAGTTTTTAAGCCATTACTTCTGGTCTCCTGTGTGGTAGGTACACAGTCAGATACCTGATGAGATGTTGTCTACTTTCAGGGATGAGCATTATAAAATGTTTAACAGTTCCTGTGAGAACAGAAAGGAGAGTTCTATATGAAAAAAGGAGAGGGGGAGGCCAATGGGTTCAAGGAGACTTCCTGGAAAAGATAATGCTTGAACTGAATTTTGAATAGACTGAGCCCACCTCAGTTTTCCTCTACTGGAAAACTGATTTCCTGAGATACCCGTGTTAAATTTGTTAAATAAGTTTTAAAGAATGAGCAGTAAATGAGCAAGTGGTTTTCCTTCACCAAAATTTAATAGCTTAGTTTAGTCAATGCATGGAACATGATTGCTTAAATTTAAATCATTCTTATCCTAACAATTTCAGAATTGAAAGAAACTTTAGCCAACATTTAGTCTTATATACCCACTTTCCACCCAGTTTACAGATGTGAAAGAGAGACTGAGGTTAACGGTTCGGCTGGAGTCATATGGCCAGCCAAACTCAGAGCTTGTAAACTCTGTGTCCTGCCTAGTAGTCTGGGCTCCTAAAACATCTGTATTAATTACATATTGATTCGGTTTTGGATCCATGACATTTTCGGTAGTGTTTTCAAGTTCTCACATTTAGAATTTTTATTATATCTTCTGCATTCCTTAGCCCAAAGAATGGAGAGGGAATTACACTCTTGGAATACTTTATGATTTGGGGTTTTTTTTTTTGTTTTTTTTTTTTAAGATTTTATTTATTTATTTGACAGAGAGAGATCACAAGCAGGCAGAGAGGCAGGCAGAGAGAGAGGAGGAAGCAGGCTCCCCGCTGAGCAGAGAGCCCGATGCGGGGCTCGATCCCAGGACCCTGAGATCATGACCTGAGCCGAAGGCAGCGGCTTAACCCACTGAGCCACCCAGGCGCCCCTGATTTGGGGTTTTAAGTGTTCACAGACATGCCATTCTGTTTGTCTTTGAGAAGAACAAAAGTATAATTCTTAATATGGAATTGTCTGGTATTTTTTACCTATGCTATTTTTCTTGTGATAATAATTTTTTCTTTTTCTCTTTTTAGTCTGCCATTTTCAATTTTCAGAGTCTGTTGACCGTAATCTTGCTGCTTATATGTACCTGTGCTTATATCCGATCCTTGGCACCCAGCCTCCTGGACAGAAATAAAACTGGGTATGTTACTAATGATATCTAACCACCCAAATTAGGTCCTATAGACATTGAGGGTAAATTACCATAAAGGTCATTAAATAATTTAGTTCCTATATATAACTTCATTTTGTAACAGCTTTCTACATTATTTTCTCCATTTTTAAAAATCTGAAATCTCTGTATGCACAGAATCTTAATAAATAAAAAGACAGATATTAGAAGTGACCTGAAATGTGTCTATAAAAAGTACACTTAAAAAGATATGACAGGTTTTTTTTCATCTGGAATTAGAAATACAATTTAGCACTTTCAAAGATAGTATTTGGCCTTAACTTTTTATGCAATAATCAATAAAGCTGGTTATTTAAAAAAAAAAAATATTGGTTATCATGTTTTTGAAGCATAAAACAGTTGGCAAGCACTGTGTCCATAAAAAAATATGATGTAGACATTTCCCTCTCCAGTCTAAGACTGTTCGAATCATATAGGTTCCCTATTAGCATCAGAAAGCAAACATCTTCAGGGAAATATATTTAGCTAACTTAAAGCAATAGTAAAAATTAAGTCTTGGGCTTGACACATCTCTTGTATTATATGTTCACATCCTGAAAAAAATTGAGCTCAAATATAATACCACACAGAAGAGAAATTTTAAAGTGCCATCTTTATAATACAAAAGTACATGTTGAATTCAACCAAAAGGAAAAGTATATTAAAAACCAGAGACTATGTGATGAAAGCTATGTAAATTTTCTTTGCCTTGAATATTTACTAATTTCTAAGAGAAATTGTCTTTTTTTTTTTTAATGTGAAGACTTTTTTTTTTTTTTTAAGATTTTATTTATTTATTTGACAGACAGGGAGATCACAAGTAGGCAGAGAGGCAGGAGAGAGAGAGGAGGAAGCAGGCTCCCCACTGAGCAGAGAGCCCGATGTGGGGCTCGATTACAGGACCCTGAGATCATGACCTGAGCCGAAGGCAGAGGCTTTAACCCACTGAGCCACCCAGGTGCCCCAAGAGAAATTGTCTTAATCGTTCCTTAATAAAAGCCTATGCCTACTTAATCGTTTTAAGAAATAAAAGAATGAAAGAATATACTTCACATAGGAATAGTTATCTCCAGCACCTGTATCGGGCCAAATTAGGATCCTGCAAGGTCAAAATCTGTTTTTCAACTAATAAAAATCTGCAAGAGGCAAGGTGATAGCTATGAGAGTAATAATTTCAGCTTCTTTTTCCTTCACCTCCATTCTATCTTTGAGGACATAGTTAGCATTTATTCAGACATTGTGTCATCTAAACTATTTAGCTTTCGTTACCATTTCTTCCTTGTTATTTCCTAGGGTTGTTGAAATATATATAAAGGCACAAATAGAACCTCTAACTAGTTTCAAATATTAAAAATCCCTAATCCTGTTCTAATATACTGATCATCTGTTTCTGTTAGCCTGAGGGATTTTATTTAACCTGCTGCTGTTATTTGCCCAACAGTTTTTGTGACAATGACCCTCTTCCTTTGTAGACGCTGACTTTTCATCACATTTTTTTCCTCTGAAGTCCTCTTGCACTTAGTCTTCACTTACTTTGTCCATTTTTAAAAATCAGATGAAATTACATAGTATTTTGTTCCTTTTTTGAAGTTCTATAATCTTACTTGTTGCTTAGTTGTGCATGAAGCCTTTCCATGCAACTAAATGGTTTTATTCTTTCCCTTCCCCCTATTGCCTTAAAGTATATGGTAGAAACCAGTAAACATCCTCATTGCTGTTTGGCTTGGTATTGTAATATAATACATAACATCTACTTAGTAAGATATTTAAGTGTTTATTTCATTATAAAAACAGTCACGTAGTAGTGGAATAGAATATCGATGCTTTGCTGCTGCTGTTATGGAGAAAGTAGGTTGCATGTGGAAAAGTCTGCTCCTCATTCTTTGGGGAGCAGGAATACATCCATTACATGCTACATTAAAAAAGGAGTTCTCAGGGCTGCCAACCTTACAGTAGAGGTTGAGTAGTAGTATATTTCTCCTACATATAAGACCAAAGAACTAGCATGCCTACTTCTGTATTTTGAAGCATGTACTCATATAGTCAGCTGCTTGAAGGCTTTTTTTTAAAACTTTGCTTCTATTTATATAAATGTTAGGCCCCATTTTGACATGTACATTAGGAATATTTTCTCTGGGAGCAATGCTTAATGGGTCATTGTCCTTTTATAGTATATGTTCTTTTGAGACTCATAATAAACTGTCCTTTCATTATAGTGAAATCCCATTTTTAAGTAGAGATGTGTAGGCTAACTGGACAACACAGGTACTTGATAATTTTACTTTTGAAAATAACAATTTTTTTGCTGCTTCAAGTAATACAGAACTAAAAAGCAGCAATAAATTATTGCTACTTTGCCTTATTTCATGTTATCATAGACTTGATTAGCTTTATCGGCATATATACTTATTGACTTATAGCCGTAGAAACCAAGTGGCGTAATTGTATTCGTTTTTCCTAACTAATAAAGTTCCTGTGTTCTAATAAATAGCGTTTGGGGCACGTGGGTGGCTCAGTCGGTTAAGCTGGTGGCTCAGTTGGTTAAGTGGCTGACTCTGACTCAGGTCATGATCCCAGGATCCTGGGATCGAGCCCCCGTGTCTGGCCTCCCTGTTCAGCAGCAGAGAACCTGCTTCTGCCTCTGCCTGCCACTCTGCCTGCTTGTGCACGCACATGCACTTTCTCTCTCTCAAATAAATAAATAAATAAATAGAAATCTTTAATAAATAGCATTTGGCATATTACAGAAATATGTCTAGGTAGAGAAATAATAAGGGAAAGGCCTAAGTAGTACTGATGAATCTCTAAGTTGCTTGAGTTAGGGAATTTTTTTCATTTATATAGTTTTTAGTATATGTGTTGTAACAATTCCCTAATGAAGCTTTGAGTTATTTCTAGTTTATCACACCTGAACTGATCCTGATTGTGATCTTACAGTTTTAGATTATGTTCTGTGGGACTCTGAGTTTCCCATGGAGGAGCTTCAGGTGTCCTGCCACTGGGTCCCTCATCCACAGTAGATTTAAATCTATGGGCATGTTATACTCAGTAGATTTTTAGAATTAAGGAACCATGGCATTGCAAATGACTCACCGATTGTCTTTAGTTTTTTGATGATAGGTAAGCCAATTTTAAGTGACATCTAAAGTTACTATCACATGTGCCTTTATATTTTTTTTTAAGATTTTATTTATTTATTTGACAGAGAGAGAGATCACAAGTAGGTGGAGAGGGAGGCAAAGAGGAGGGGGAAGCAGGCTCCCTGCTGAGCAGAGAGCCCTATGTGGGGCTCGATTCTAGGACCCTGAGATCAAGACCTGAGCCGAAGGCAGAGGCTTAACCCACTGAGCCACCCAGGCGCCCCAGTCACTTGTGCCTTTAATCTATGTATTACTGAACACAGCCCATTAGTTACTATTCTGAAGAATTTCTTTGTAATAATGAAATCAATCCTTATAAAAAGCCTATGAGGGTGAGTTTCTATTAAGGAGAAAATTTGCTTACAGTTATGCAGCGAATTAAGTAAGATTAAACTTAGGCACAATCTGGCCCTTATATTTTCTTATATTATTTTCAAAAATATCTTTGATCTTTGTCCTTTTATTCCTATAGTAAAATTGTTGCACCTGTCAGAATATCTATCCTTCAAAATAAACTTGTATTTTTGCCCATTTCATGGCAACTGAACCATGAGACTTTTTGATTTGGGGTCAGGAAGTTATACTTCAAAGGAGGAATATATATAGAACTTAATCAAACCAGTAATTTCTTTCATTCTTAACCACTCATATATAATTATTCATCAGCCAGCCATCTCTTCAGGCCCCCCCCCAAAAAAGCATAACCTAAATTTCCCTGGAATTTACATATTTCAATTTTGTTACTACACCACTCCTAACCTACTGCAGTAAGTACTACTAATTTATCTTGATTTGTAGCTATGTATAACACCATTCATAATTCTCTTCTTTTGTCAGAGCAACAAAATAGTTGTCTACAGTGTTTTCATATCTTTTAGCTATCTCAGTGACTCGGTTGATTTTGTTTTAAATCTTCTACTTTTTATACATGCTGAATAAGTGATATATGCATATAATTTGTATTTAATTCATAGTATATTCATTCAAAGAATGGTGATGAACATCTTCATTCTAATTCTTATTTCCAGAATGTATGTGTTTTAAATGTCATATTTAGTTAACTCATACACAGACTACCCTAAACTAGGATTTTGTACTTAAATTGAAAACATAGGCACCTATTTTTATATCTTTCCTTATTGAGTGACATAGTTATGTAAATGCCATCACTGGAGTTCATGGTTATAAATCCTTTAAATATAGAACTACATTCTATAAAAAATAATTTCCTTAGTGTGAGTTTTATTTTTTAATGGCAAAAACACCCAAACCAACTATGTTCATTTACCATTTTCTCAAAATTAATGTTTATGTAAATTGGCATATATATTTTCTACTTTTGAGAGTTAAGCACTTGAAGTTGACTGAATCAGTTCTACAGTAAAAAAAAGCCCGGTGTACATTTTTGCTGCATGTATTAATTTACTGTGCATTTAACCTAGGATACGACATATATTCCAGTCTGTAACAGTTTATATACACTGACATTTGATAAGCAAGTGTGTCCTACTTTCCTACATAAATGGTGGCTCAATACCAAATTTCAGTTTTGAAGTATCAAAAGGTAAAATGCCAGTTTGTACTGAATGCTCTGTAGGTTACTGAGAAAATGATTTACCTTTCTCACTAATTAATAGCTACTATTTCCTTTTTTATTATATGCAGATTGTTGGGTATATTTTGGAAATGCGCCAGAATTGGTAAGTGTCTGTTAAAATCGCCACATCTTCAGCTGTAAATTGTTGGGCGGTTTACTTATGCCATATTCACAGAAGGCAAACATCTGTTTTATAACCGCAGGCTTCCCAATTTTGAGCAATTTTGCAAAAGTTTGTCGAATTCCCCCAAACTCTTTTCCTTATGCTATTTAATACTAGACATGGTAGATACCTCATAAGACTTAATTAGCAGGAAGATGGAAACTACAGGAAAAATCTAATTCAAATATCAAATGCTGTGCATTCCTAGTGTTGAGATTTTAGACAAATGTGTACAGTTTATAAGAATGCACACATTCTTATAGAGCATGCTGCTCTGTATAACGTGTACTATTTTGATAAAAGGATGAATTTTCCATCTAATGGAAGGCTCGCTAAGCAGTCGTCTAAAATTACTCAATTTATTCCCGTATGCTAAGTCCAAGAATGTTATTTATTGCTTTTGGAAAGCATTAACTGTTTCACCTGTCAAACTCATGTGATCATAACTGAATTTTGGTTCTAATTGATTAAAGTTAAATATGATTATCTTCTAACTTCTCATAGTAAAATTAGTAGTGTCATTGTATGTTTTTGTTCAAATAATAATATACTCTTATCCCATCCCTATATGTATATAACATTTAGCACAGTGCCTAGTTCATAGTAGAGATTCAAATGATTGACAAGTGAATGAATTAAAATGTACTTTACTGATGTAATCCACCAGTGTTCTTAAATAATAGATTTTACCCTTTTTAACATAGCTAGTTCAAAAAAAAAAAAAAAAAGCATTACAGAGCAATTTGTGATTGTTCCACTTGGACAGAACAAAATGAATATTTCTCCTCTTTGGAATTATTTACATGACCCCCTGAAAAAAGCTAGGTTTTAGTACTCTTCCAATATTTAATTTGTATGTAACTATTTTCTTTTATAAAGGTATGACTTCCATAATAAAAAAAAAAAAAGTTGTTGTATTTGACAGTATAATTAATCTGACAACAGCCTAAATTACCCCAGTGAATCACTTTAAATAGGAGGGGGAATTTAGGAGTCATGTCCCTAGATAAGCTGTGTTCCATCCAGAGTATTATGTTTTCTTTTGGATTCATTTATCATAGATGTGGAAGATTTAGAAGATGGTCCATAACAGGAAACGAAATTGATTAAACATTGAGAACTACAAACTAAGATTTTGTAACATTTTAGAAATTTTTCTAAATAAAACAAGTTTTAGAAATACATTGTTAGCCACGGATATAAATAATTATGAGAGTCTGAGCAAGTTTTCTTCCTTTGAGCTTTTAATACTAGGCAAGACCCATTAACAGTGAAGTTGTAAGCTTCATACCAAATTACATAGAAGTCCTTTCAGAATATGTTACGATTAGATCACAAGATTCGTTGGTCTTTCAAGTGTCTTACTATAGAAAATGACAGTGTACTATAAATAGTTTCAAAGAAAAGTACTTTCTAGGCCCTCATCTTAATGTATTGATTATTGAAACAGACATCTTCTTGAGAATTCACTGTGCTTTTAACATGTTAAACTGTCCTTCCTCAATGTTCTTTGGACTTATTATCTCTTAGGGTGACAGACATGTGAATCTTTCTTTTGTAGAAAAGATCATTGACTTTAGATAGGTAAAGCACAGGTATAGCCTAGATAAGTTGTTATCAATCAGGATATTTTAACGGTGTCTGGAGACATTTTTGGTTGTCACCACTAGAGTGGGGGGACATACACTGAGTACAGATCATGCATGTTGCTAAACATATTAAAGTGCACAGAACAGCTCCTCACATAGAATGAGCCCAAAATGTCAGTAGTGCCAAAGTTGAGAGGGCTCAGCCTAGATTTACAGAGATCTGTGGTACAGACTTACCTGACATCCAATCATTCTCAACAGCTGCAAAGCCTAAAATAACAGTAGAAATCTTAATCACTTTAAAAATAACTGAGAAGGAAGAGATCAAGAGACAGAAGAGCACCCTTGATGGCTAATTCTGATAGCTAGTAGTAAATGTAAATATGTGTAAAGCAAACTGTTTCAAAGCCAAGTCACCAAAGAAAATGAAATAATATTGTCAAGGAACAGAGTGCAGAGAATACCTCAAGTAAACTACAAAAAGAGAACATAATGGAAGAATAGGACAGTTCAAATACAGTAAAATTCTCTGGATCAGAGGAATACTGAATATTCACTGGTAAAAATATAATAAGTCTGGAGTTAGGAGATAGAGCTTTCATCTTAATATTATGAAGTTGCTAATTCACAAATAAAATATTTAAATTAAGGGATTTTAAGTTAAATGTGAAGGTATTTTAAATCCATTTTGTGTAATAAATTAGAGAATTATATACAGCTTCATTCAGTAGCCAACCCAGGTGACCCTTTTCACAATGGTTACTTGAAAGTATAGCTGAAAGTTTAAGGCATCTAGTCTATAGCTCTCTTAATGGTTTCCTGTGATATCATCTGTTTTGATGTCTAATTTAAATTGTGCCTTTCTTTTTGCTTGGTCAGTTACTATTTTCATTTTTTCTCCTGACTGTATGAGTGCCATACGTTAAATGGTTCAGTTAAAGTGTTCTTTCATGCCAATTATGTGAAAGCAGTAGCTTTTCATTTTGGCAAAATGGCCCCAAAAACGTTGATGCTGATAGGCAGACTTTCCCAGCCACATGCTCCTCTCTTATCTTGACACAGAATATATCCACCAAGAAAGGATACAGTTTTAATAGGAAAAGTTCCAGCCAAATCATCTTATCATGTTACACATCACGTTACAGCAACTGTTTCACATTCACTTAAACAGACTGAAGATCAGACAAGAAGTAACATTCTTACCCAAGTTCAACCAAAGATGTTTAGTTCTACCACATGGCAGTCTCTTTCAAGAAAATCAAAAACAGGAAAATGAAACCCATGTGTAAATTATAGCATTCTAAGTTGGAAGATGAGGAAGAGAAGAACTTCCTCAAAACTTAATTTCCAACAGATGGAGAACTTAGGGCAATATTAATTTTTTCTTTTAGGTGTTTAATAAGACGATATTGGACAGTTAGAGTATCTAGCCCTAATTAGAGTGACTGGCTTGCTTATGAAATCCACTTGAAAATTATGTCTGAATAAGGTTTTGTTTTGTTTGATAATTTGCCCAAAAAATTAACATTAGTTAGTTAAAAATGATGACCCAAGTTATTTTTTAGTTTAAATTGTTTTGTTTTGTTTTTTCCTATTGAGATAGCAGCATTGTGAAAATGCTGTTGTCTCACTTTTTAAATTTTCCTTTAGCTAGAAAGCAGCCCAATGTCTATGAACAGAAAAATACTTTCAGAAAAACAGTGAATGTTTCTTCTGCTTATATGTGTATATCTTCTTTGAATATTGTCACTGAGCAGACACAAAGGTAAAATTAGTAACAACATAACTATGTGAGCTCTTTGAGGAAGCTCTGAAAAGAAAAAATGACCTTGAGGATTTTAGTTGAGAGGATGGTCAAGATTGACATTTTCCAGAGGTAATTAACTAAACTTGCCAAATAAAACAGCCTTTGCTGAAGGAATTTAGTTACTGGAGGAGAACTGATTTTATTTTATTTTATTTTATTTTAAGATTTTATTTGAGAGAGACAGAGATAGTGAGAGAGAGCACCAGTGGGGAGGAGAGGGAGAAGGAGCCTGGGGTGATCACGTGAGCTGAAGGTAGACACTTTACCGACTGAGCCACCCAGGTGCCCCAAGAGAGCTGATTTTAAACATAGAAAAACAAGTGAGGGGAGTATATATAGTCTCTACTACAACACCAGGTATATGCCCATGATTATTTCTAGAAGTAGCACATCACTCCCTCTTCTTTCTTCCTTTCTCATGCACCCTCAAAATAGCATAAATGCCTGGTGCTTTGTGGAACTCTACAGCCCTTCAGTAAATGAAAAGCAGGAAAGAACAAAATGAGTTTGGGATAACTCAAAATCACAGGGTCACTGTTTGTAAGACAGCTTCACAAGCCAACTCCATTCTACTTCAGGCAAAGGAAAATCTCCAAATAAAAACAACTTTTAAACACATGTGAAAATTGACTCATAAAAGTGGCTGTTTTTAAGTTCTACATTTCTAGCCCAAGAGTAATCAAAGTTTCTCTTTAAACTGCAGTTAGTTAACGTACAGTGTAATACTAGTTTCAGATATGCAATATAGTGATACAATACTTCCATGTATCACGAAATGCTCATCAGGACAAATACACTCCTTAATCCCCACCACCTGTTTCACCCATCCCCCCCCACCCACCTTCCCTCTGGTAACCATCAGTTTGTTCTCTCTATAGTTAAGAGTCTCTTTCTTGGTGCTCCTGGGTGGCTCAGTCGGTTAAATGACTGCCTTCGGCTCAGGTCATGATCTTAAGGTCCTGGGATTGAGCCCTCCATCGGGCTTCCTGCTCAGTGGGAAGCCTACTTCTGCCTCTCCCACTCCCCTTGCTTGTGTTCCTTCTCACCCTGTGTCTTTCTCTGTCAAATTTTAAAAGCATAATTTAGCTCATTTTGTATTGTACTTGCTTTTATGCTGTAGCCACTGCTTGTTTGGCCCATCTCCCCAAATGTACGGGCCCCCTAGCTAAGAACTTTATCTTGAGCCTCATGTGCCCCTCTCCCGTAGTAACCTTATCATATCCATGATAACATAAACTCAGTTAATCAACATAAACATCTCCCCTTTTTTTTCAATAGGTGAACGGAAGAGTCCTTACGTTGCAGTATGCTGTATAGTGATGGCCTTCAGCATTCTCTTCATACAGTAGCTTGGAAGAATATCAGAATTTAATTGCCATCAGATTTCAGTATGGGAAAGGACTTACTTACAGAAAATAATGGAGTGAATGGTTAACCCTTTTATCTCTGAACATTGAATGAGATAAATTTCCAGCTGCTGTTCTCTATTTTTATTATTGGACCAATGTTCTATATAAATAGGATGTAACCATTTAATACTCAAAGAGTTTAATATGTCTGTAACAATCAACCTCAGTACTGTCACTACAATATTACATTCTGCAAATGTTATTCTGTTATGTCAGATACCAGTTTTTCGTGAGGTATCTCTAAGGTGCATAATAGAAAACAAAATTGGTAAATGACCCAAGTTTCTTTCACTGTGATTTGGGAATGATAAATCCTTATAGAATGAGACATTTTTCTGGACTAGCTTTTTTATTGGGGAAAAAGTTCAATTTTTGTTGGTAAGGATTGCATTCATATTTAATAATGCTTGCTTTTTCCTCTGGTCATACCAGAGCATTAACAGAGTACCTCGAAGCAAATTCGCTAGTGTATCACAGGTGTTTCAGCTATTTAAAACAAGCTATGCAGTTCTTAAGGAGGAAGATAAATGAGATCAGACTTAAGAGTAGTACTGGGAAGATGTTCATATTTAGCATAAAAGTTTAGAATAACTGACTGGTATAGTAGCCTCTGAAAATTTGACCGGCTGTCATTCTCTAAATAAGACTGCGTACTTAGAGTGAAAATAGCAAAATAGAACAATTACAGAATGATAATCCGTTTGTGTTTTTTATTCTTTTTAGTGTCAGGTCTCCACTTATTTTAACTGCCCCCAAACACAAAGTATTTTGTTTGTTTTTAAATACAGCACTTTAATGTGTCTAGTTTACTTTTTATGTGTCAACTAGAACGAGAATCTTCTGAATAACTCAGTAGGTGATGATAAACAGTTTTCAGATCTCTTATCCTTATAGCTTGTCATAAGTGTCTTTGGGTTTTGATAACAAGGAAATACCTTCAACAGTTTCCATCAAAGCAAGAGAAACATTTGGAATATGACTAAAAAATTTTGCAGTAGAGCGTTATTAAAAGTTCAGTTAACATTTTTTCAGTTTCAACTGAAATTCAAGCTAGAAGGAACATAAACATCTTAGCTAAAAATTGCCCATTTTAGGTAGTACTAATTAGATATTGTCCTCAGCTATTAATTCCTTTTCTTTTTTTAAGAAAATTATTTAGAGTTATTTGAAAATGAGGCTGCCAGTAGCTCTTTCTGTAGAAACAAAGTTTGGAACTAAAAGCCATCTATTTTTAAAGACCACTTTAAAGTACTTGAAAAGAATTCTAGGAAACATAAGAAAAGCTTGTTAAGCATTGCTTGCTTTTCTCACAAAAGATAAAAGCTGCTATAGGCTATCAATATAATTGTTTATTTTACATTTTTGGCATATCTCTCTGGCCAAAAGTTACATATTTTGCTTTAGAGAGGGAATCAGGTTATGATCATTGTGCCTACTCTGAACTGTCTCTTGGGCTTTGCATTAGGTCAAGAATTTTCAGGGTATCCTAAAAATAGGACTCTTATCAGCATATACATGCAGAGTAAGTCACCTTTCTGGGTCTGGTTTCTGAGCCCATCTGTTGTCCCACTCTCCTGCCAACTAGACTTTCCAAAAGCTATGTCAACTAATCTTTTATATGCTAGCACAAATCTAGTATGAATAAAGGGAAGAATATTCTAGATAATCAGTTCTAGGGCATTTCTTTAAATTTGGCATTTTGGAGAAGCTAGGTGGAAAGTAGAGGAAGAAATAATTTTTTTGAAAAATCTGTGGTAACATACAAAAAATTTTGCTGTGTGTAGATGCTCAACAGAGTGGGAGGCAGCTCATTTCTGACCCTAGACACTGTGACCTTTTGAAACACAAGCTCTTTGGGATACAGAGAAAAGGATTCTATGAAGAAAAGCAATTAGCATTTTCTTTAATGTAGTTTTTTCAAAGAGCTACCACTGAATCCTGTTCTCTAACCCAAAGGGCAGCGTAGGTAGTTTTAGGCCCACAGAATATTCAGAGACTCCTGTTGTATTCTTGGTGGGGTGGTAGGATGCAGAAGAGCATTAAGGATCGATTTAGCATCAGATGGACTGTCTCTGTCACAGAGACTTACTGCAGGGCTAGAAGGGATAGGTGGTGGGCACTGAAGTCCATAGCTTACCAAGGTTTGAATACTCTGCGTAACCTCTTTCCTGGCTCCAGAATTTTTTTATTCCATCTCTCCTGGAAATTGTTCGGTGCTGATATTTTAGTTCCTGAATGGGCTCAGCTGTGTCCATGGCAGGAACTGGTCTTCTTTCCGGGCAGTCTTAAAAGATGGTCAATCAAAAGGCCATTTAATCTGTTGAATTCCCTGCATGGCTTAAAAAAAATTTGGATTCAAATCCAGTGTCTTGTAAATGCCTGTGCTCCTATGCTAGCCATTTTCCATGTTTAAATGCAAAATAGCCCCTTCATACTGGGAAGAATAGTAATAGGTAATTTGTAACAGATTCCTTCACCTTAGTAATAGGCAGATCAGTCTCATTTTTTCTTAGGACCTAGAAGAGGTCAGAATGAAGTGACAAAGTAAAAAATGAACAGGTCTCTCCCTAGTTTTGTGGGAAAGAACTAGCATTTTGTAAATAGAATTTATACATTTGACCATTCTTTCAAGAAGCATTTATGGAGTACATGTAGTACCTTATCACTGAAGACAGAAAAGCAAGTACATAATTTCTGTCCTCTAGTAGTTCACAGTGCAGTGGATGAGAGAGATGAAATTACTTATAGAAACTGCAATGTGATAGTGCTTATTACTGAAATAATGCCGGGATTCTAGAAGAAAATAAGGGTGACACCTTAGAGGTAAGCATTTCCTGCTAGAGAAGCAGTGCTTAAGCTGAATTTAAGAGTAGTTTGCAAAAGCACCAGTGGTATATTATTAACTATAAGCACCCAGCTTGTTGTGCCACTTGGGGAGTATCAAGACATAAGCCTAAAAAGGTGAACTGAGGTTGGATCCTAGAGGGTCTTGTATTTTTTCTCACTACTATTACCTACCTCAAAATTGAAGTTAAGTATATGTTCCCTTCTGCCTGACAAAAAGACTTGGAAAAAAAAAATCTTCGATGTATGTGTAAACAAGGTTAAATATATCCATGCAAACCTTAATTTGGACCAGGAATACAATAGTATACTCTCCGGAGACTCACTTGCATAGTCTGTAAAGGCGAGGTAACATTAGTTCAGTCACGTATTTTCAGCAACTCTCAAAAGCTTATACTCGTCACTGCCTAAAGCAGCCATAATTCCTAACGCACACATCCGCACAAGAAGCGGAGGCGGTTGCACTATGTACATTTTCTGGGTGCAGAGGAAAGATTTCTAGGAAGCAAGGACCTGCACTCTCTTCAAAGCCTTTGGGAAGTTACTGGATCATAGGAAGCTGAAAGGAATTGAAGATTCTTAGGGACCACTTTGAACTATCTCTGGTGTTCAGTAAACAGTAGATGTTCAATATCAAAGTAACTGAGTAATAGCAGCATTGTGAATACGACAGCCTCGTCAGTCTAAATCAGCAAGTTACTACTGGCTTCCAAACATAGCTTCATAATTATGTCATGCATACACTGCCTTCCATGGTTTCTTTTACTTCGCCCTAAACCAATCCCAAAATAATTCGAAATGCAACTCTGGCATCAAAAAAGGGGGAAGGTGGAAATCTATTTCCTGTGACTTTAAGACAACAGAATCATCCTGTGTTGTGTAATAAAAACAAAAACAAACTCTCAAGAGCCTCCCAATTTTGTCTTACTATCAGATGAGTGAGAACAGTTTAAGAGGTTAAAAAATTAAAATTGGCACCTTTTGAATAAGATGGGAAAAGATAAATGTTTCTGTTAATTTTACCTGTATTTTAATTCATGTCAAGATTCTGGGGGAATTTTTTTATGTTGTTTTGCATCTTAAAGCTGTTCTATTATATTGCCGTCTCTCTGAGTGAACCTTCAAGAGCCTAAATGACTTGCTTCAGATATGAAGTCATTAATTCACACCCCCCCCAGACACAGTAGAAATTTGGATTCTGAATGAAAGTGACAGTATTAATAGTTGACAGTACTTTAACCTTGTCCTCCACTAAGAGCCTTGAAATACCCATACATTCAGTCCAAAATCTGTGAGCAGTGTCCGTCAATTATTCAGACAATTTATACCATTAATTAGGAAATACGACAAAATTTATATATACTATGTGCCTTGCTTTGCACAGCATGGTCTTTCTACAGTTACCTTTCCAGCACTGAACTGACACAGATTAAACTTTTGTAATAACTGTAACTAGAAAGGATGTACTTAACCAAATGAATTAGAACAACTATATTTTTTTAGTTGAACTTTGAACTCAAAAAGCATTTCTGGGGGCGCCTGGGTGGCTCAGCGGGTTGAGGCCTCTGCCTTCAGCTCAGGTCATGGTCTCAGGGTCCTGGGATCAAGCCCCGCATCGGGCTCTCTGCTCGGTGGGGAGCCTGCTTCCTTCCCTCTCTCTCTGCCTGCCTCTCTGCCTACTTGTGATCTGTCTGTCAAATAAATAAGTTTTAAACAATCTTAAAAAAAAAAAAAGCATTTCAGGTATGAATAGAAAACACTATCTCAGTTATTTCCTTCAGTGTATATTGTAAACCTCCCTCACTGCTCCATCATAACTGCCAGTTAATCTGAGACTTTATGGAGAAAAATCCCTAAATTTCTGATTCCTAACTCAGGTCAAAACAATTCAAAATGGCTTTGCTTGAGACCACTGAACTTAACATAGTGGGAAAGCAAAATCTGTTTTCAATTCAGAGGGTTTGTATTAATTTCCTTAACCATAACAGATTTGTCTGGGAAAAAAAACATAAATATTGGAAATAAGGGTAAATCACTTCATAGACACTATATGGAGGATGAGAACACTCAAGAACTGCAAAATACCAGAGCTTTATTTGGTAAGGGAAGTAACCTGGGAGCAAATGTATAGTGATTGAGGGCGTGTAGCCAAATTGCCAAAACATGTAATTTATGAGTCATTTCAATATTTTTGATAAGTATTATGTCTAGACTAAATCTTGGAAGAATGATGAGCAAAGGTACTGTTTAAAAAGAAGTATTGAACTGTTAAGGCATGAAGGATTTCAAGAGGGCCAGGACTGAAGAGAGAGTATTTCTAGTATTAAAGTGTTAAAGTGACCTGCCGGCTCAGGGTAACACGAAAAGATTTGACATTAGGAATTGAAAGTTATAAAGATAGAATGTTCTCAGTAACATTTCCTTAGGGCTCC